GGTCCTGGTTGCTATGAGAAAGCCAACTGACCAAACCGTAAAGAACAAACCAGTAAGAAGTGTTCCCCCATGGTCCTTGAGTTCCTGCCTTGAGTTCCTGCCCTGACTTCTTTCAATGATGGACTGTAGTGTTGTCTTTGGCCATGATTTTTTTTTTATCGCAGTAATAGAAACTCAAAGCAAGACAATGAGCATACACAATGAGTCTCCCAGAACTCCCGTATTTCCACAGAACACTTTGTATGACTGTGACTCTACAAGCCATTCTGCGAGAACGTACAGCGAGCTCCAGCAAGGCTGATGATCCAGATGGAGGTCAGTCCCTCTCACTTCTCACAGCCTATGTGGTAGCATTTTCCTGGAGCAGGCTGTGGTAGCTTCTCATCTCTTGGCACACTCTTTGAGCAGCCTTCACTTACACATGGGCCCTCAGCAATCATGCATTTGTTTACAATACCCTGACCTCCACCTCTAGACAGTCCCTATGGCCAAGTTTTAATTTCACATAAATCTCCCACACATCCTCCTAGCAATCCCACAAACACCTTAAGCTCAGCATATCCCGAATGGAACTCACCATCATTCCCTCAAACCTGCTTCTTACCATAGCATCATAACTCCTGACCCACAATGACACCAAGGAGAAACCCTACAGGCCATTTGTTTTTAGCTATAGCCTGTTGAGTCTCACTTTCAATGTTCCCCGCTGCCCACTGATATACCTCAGATGGCTTACTTGGACTCCCTGATCCCAACTCCACCTCCAGGCTTTCCCACCCAGTTATTGATAATAAGTTTTCAAACCATACCCATGACCTGATCACTGCCTGGAACAAAACCTCTCCATAGATCTCTCTGTGGCTTCACATCCCTTCCTGACCCATGTGTTCTGACTTCAGAGCCTCCTACATATCTCCAGCACACTGTCTCAAGGTAAAGGATCTTAGAAGTCCTTCCGATGACATGGAACTCCCAGGATTCACACCCAGATACTTCCTGGAGCCTGGGAAAGTGTCAAAAAATTAGCTCATTTGTTTATAGTCCCTATCTGCCCTCCACCAGAAAACCCTGCTAAAGGAACGATGGTTCAGGACCACGGAGAGCGCCACATGCTCACGCCCCCACCTCCCCTGACCCTTTAGTTGGGCTCTGCCTACAAGGCCTTCACAAGTCCAGTACAGGCTTGACTTCCTCATGGAAGCCTTCCCTGACCCACCTGGGTGACCAATCATTTCCTCCTCGGGGCTATTTTGTAACATGTATATTCCTCCATCACACCAAACTCATTATTCTGATTATGTTTGTTTGATTCCACCACCACTCCACCCCCAAAAGAGATGAGCCTCAAGGGCTCATGCCCTGTCTGATTCATCTTCACCATCCATTGCAGAGGAGGTGCTTAGAGAATGTTTGTTGATTGAATGAGCAAATGACATTTAGCAGGTGCAGGAAATATGTGTTGATTTGCATTGTATATCTGTTGCTCTGGGTGACTCAGAAACCAGCCAGATTTCAATCCTGCCGCCTGTGGAGAAGCCATTTTTCTCCCTAATGACACCTCCCTCCATCCTTGGAGCAGCTTTCCTGCAGGTCACCATCCTAGCTGGGGAGAAGGCACCCCCACTCTGCTCCTGCTATTGCCACACTGGAGACTCACTGGAGTCTCCCCACCCCCCGTTTTGGGGCCTGCCACGTGAGTTTTACTCTGAACATGTCATCTCTGCCTCTCTCCTGCTCAGAACAGATGGCTCTGAATCCCTGCTCATACAGAAGTTCCTGTTCCATCATTTGAACATTTTTTTTTTCTCAAGACAGGGTTTCTCTGTGTAGCCTTGGCTGTCCTGGAACTCACTCTATAGACTAAGCTGGTTCTATTTAGACCTCCACCTGCCTCTGGCTGCCAAGTGCTGGAATAAAGGCGTGTGCATCGCTATACACGACCCACTTGGACATTTTAAACACTTTCTATATTATAGATGTTTCAGTCACCTTTGACCATGGCCTGAGACCATCAGAAACAGAGTCTCTGGAAGGACATTGAGTAGAGGCTCTTCCTCACCCTGTGGAGAGGCCAGTGACCTGCCCCAAATCATCGCAGTAGATGCTGTCACTTTTTTTGAGGAAGGAGGAGGAGCCTTTTTAAAAATTTTTATTGTTTTGGTGTTGGAAATCAAACTTGGGGCCAGCTAAGAAAGCACCATCACTGAGCCACTCCCCCGGCCATTTGGTTTTGATGATCGGAATTAATTAATTCATTCCTCTTCCTAGCAGCTTTCATGGCTTCCTGGTCTTAATGGAGCTATGAATCAAGACACAGGCAGAAGATCCAAGCTAACCCAACTCAACTTTTATGCCTAGGGCATTAAATCTTGAGTAAGTAGGAAAAGAGTAGGGAAAAGTGTCTGGCGCTCTGAAAAATAAAAAGAAGAGATAAAATCTCTGGCTCTTCAACCTTGCTATTAATTCCGTGAGCTCTTCCTACACTGATGAGTCCTTTGCCTCCTCAAGGTCATCAGTTCGGCCCAGTTACATGCAGCTCCATAACCCAAATGCTGTATGAGCCAGTGCAAACCCATCCTCTTGGCAATGGGGTAAATCATGGCTTCAACAAGTACCGGTGCTTCTTGTTGGGCTCTCTGATAGAACCTTGGTGAGCTCAGCTATCTCACACACAGCTACCTCACTACCCAGACACAGCAGGAAGTCACCCACTTAGGAGTGGGACAGACAGGCCAATGGCTAGTTTCAGGGGAACAAGCCAGGTCGAGGTGCAGGAACCTAAATGCATGCTCCATCCTCCAGACTGGAAGACACCTCCCTAGAGAGCAAGCTGGCCACACGGGCACATGCATAGACATAGGCAGACACGTCTTCCTGCCAGGATGTCTCCTGGAGGCTGAGTCATTAACACGTGAAATGAGCAGGGTCCGGCTTGGGGACTTGTCTTGCTGAATAGCATTTTCGCTGCTGTTGACATTCCCAACAAACAAGTCCAGAGTGTCAATAACCAGGATTACCCAACAGCATCCTTCAGGTGATAAAGATATAGTCTGTTTACTATGCTACCCTTTGTAGTGAGGCACTGGGGGCCTCTCACAGGGCTTGCACCTGTTCTCATCTGCTGGGACTAGTCCCCAACAGGGAGAGGTAGGACCTGAGGGAAGCTGGGGCCTAGCTTGACTGTAGACGAGGTGTGGCTTTGTCCTCCCAGGGTCCCTCAGTCCCCAAACTTTGGCACTCCCCAAGCTCATTTAGAAAATAATATCCTGTAAATCTCTGGCTGAGCATTGAGTCTCAGTGCATCCTGGGAACTCAAGCTTCCGAATGCACTGGAAGATGTGACCTCCCCCGCAAGACTAGAGATGAGAGCTGCAGTGCTCTGCACTGAGGCCCCTAGTCCCAGCCAACCCTGCCACCTCTTCCCACCAGTGGCGAGCATGCCTCCTCTCTGGCCCCTCTCCACCCTTCCATGACTCACAGTCTGTTTCCTGTCCCATCGTCACTACCCTAGTTCTGTTCCCCCTGCCTAGTTCCTGTCCTCCACATCTCTTGTCCTTACCAGTCCCAAAGTCACCTCTAGAAGGTTTCTGAGCCATGTGACCCTTTTGTCATAGGAAGTATGTCTCCCGAGGTCCAAGGGTAGACTGGAGTCTGATTTATTGCCCCACACCGATAACCATCAGTGTTTGTAGACTTAGCACGAGCGATGTTTCTGGTCTCCCTCCCCAGCCTCTGGACTCTGCCCATTGTCTGCGAAGCTGAGTTTCAAGACAGCGTGGCTGCTGGGTTCTGACCCTGGAACTAGCCTGTGGGAGTCACATGGGAGCTAGAAATCTGCATTTGGCGCGTCTCAAACAGAGCTATGGACTCCGCAGCTGAAAGGCGGGCTGTGGCCCTGATCTTCTGTACCGTGTGTACTGAGAGCAGCGCGGTTGCCTCTTTCTCAGATAGTCAAGCTCTCCACACCAGTCCGTTTCCTTGGAGTTTCGGGGTGGTTGTTTCACTTCAATGATGATGCCGACTCAGGGAATGGGAGCTTTTGTCCTGGAGATGCCTGCTCCTGAGGAGAGCTAAACCCGGGAGCATGTGTAGGCTGAGCTAGTGAACCTAGCTCCAGGAGCCTGTCACAGCTAACTAGGAACAAGGAGAAGCCTGAAGAGGCAGGATAAGAATGAATGTAAGGGCAAGGAGCAGTGCTGAATGCTGGGCCACTGCTCTGCCCACAGATGCTGGGAGGCAGGCACAGCCTGGCACAGCAGAGGTGGCAATGAGTGAGTGAGTGATTGCCTGGCTGGGCTCCGGGGGAGGGGACAGAAGCTGGGGTCATAGGCGGAAAGAACATGCCTCCCTGCTGCTGCCCGCCTGGAAGCTGTTGATCTCCTGCAGGGCCCGCTGAGCCCAGCTGCTCAGAACCCAGTGCCAAGCATGGGTCCCACAGAGCCAGCCCTCCCCATGGAGATGCTGGGGTCAAAGATAGGCTGGAGAGAAGGAGGGCTACTTCCAGGAGTATGTGTGAACAGTCATGTGAGCTTCTCTGCATGTAGCTCAGAGGCAGCTGCCTCTGTAATTTGCACAGGCTTGAGTGGGGTCACATCCCCATACCAGCAGGCACAGGGAACCTAACTCCAAGACCACCTCCTGTTCAGAGGCTCAATGCTCATAGAGAGGTACCTCTGTCCCCCTAGCCTTTGCAAACAGGAGAATCTGAGTCAGAGTGAGGTACTCATGGTGGAGACACCCAGACAACAAAGCTGAGCAACTTCCTCGGGGTCCTTATTGTAGAGGCCACCATGAATCCTTGGCCTGGCCTGCCCACTGCCCACCCCTCTTCCCGCAGAGGCTTCACGAGGCTATAAATAACAAGATGGGTCTAAGAAGCCCTGAAATCCCAGGGCTTTGCAGTGGTCATGCTTTAATAAGGGCCCAGCCTCCCTGAAGGGTAGTGACAACTCAATTTAGCCAGCTCCTGGGCCCTGGCAGCTCTCTAGCAGGGACTGAACAAGTGGCTAGTGTAGCTTAGCTGGGGTCCCTGAATCATAGCCAAGATGGGTGGGGCCACGAGGAGGATGTGGGTAGGATAAAGCCTGCTCACTGCAAGATGGACTCAGGACTGCTCTGCTGGGGTGCTGGTGCTGGAGAGCAGGCCTTGACTCTCAGGGTTCCTGCTGACTACGTCCTCGCTGTCCAGAGTTCCTGTGGGAGACAGAAGATGATCAGTCAGCCCAAAGGAGGCAGGACCTTTGAGACTAGGCCTGGGAACAATTTATTACAAATTCTTGAGGCTCTGTTTGCATAAGAAACCCCAAAACAGACCCCTTCACTGCCATCCCCGTGCCACTGCCACCCCATGGGCTTAGTTCCTCCCAGCACAGTACAGAGTTCTGTGACCTCTCTGCCCCAATCTGGCACTCTGAATTCTGTTCTCAATACGGGAGGCCTGGGGTTGCCCTTGGAACCCCACCTCTGCAAACCCCACAGGGACTCCCATCTCCCTCTCAGTGAAGGTCACAGTCCTTTGAAGGATTCCCTCTGTGCTCTGCCTCTCTTGCTGCCTCACTGTCCCCATCACTCCTGCTACAGTTGCCCTGGCCACTTTCTCAGTCCTCAGCACCTCAAGCACATTCCCACCACAGGACCTTTGCACTAGCTGCCCTCGCCTCCCGGAGCCCCTCCCAACAGATAGCTGCCTGGCTCACGTCCCTTTTCCCTCTTTGCTCTTTTACTCCAATGTCACCCATACTCCACCACCTGTCCTTGTCGATCCCTTTCCCTGTCCGTTGTCTCTATGGCACTTACAGCAAACATTTCTCTCTCAGTTTTTCCATTCCTGGCCTGTCTCTTGCCACTAGAGCATTAGCTCCGTGAGGGCTCAAACTTGGCCTAATTCTGTCTCTCTCCGGCATCTGCTACCTTGCCTGGCACATGGCAGGGACGTAATAAATTATCTGGAATGCGCTGTCCAGAAGCATAGGTAGTTGCCAGTGCTCCAAGTCCAGAAGGGCACGAAGAGTGGGAGTACCTTTGCCAGACTGCCTGGCCTGGGCCTGGTCTCTTTCCAGGTGCAGTGCGGTCAGGAGGAAGCAGCCACCACCCAGCACGATGGCAAAGGCGCAGCACAGGAAACTGTGTTGCAGACTGAGGAAGCGCTGCAGGTAGGAGTTTGGGCGCCCAGTCTGCAGGACGCTGGAGATCTGCCAAGAGGAGAGGTGTGTTTGCGAGCCCCCCAGGTGGCCCCAGGACCTTAGCACAAACAGCACCTCCCCAAGTTCCTCCCCCCACCACACACACACACACTTAGACACTCCTTACAAGTCCAGTGAGGTAGGGGCTGCCAGCGTCTCCCAGGATGTGGGCCACTGTGATCTGGAGCGCCTCTGCTGTGCCCCTGCACCTCGGCACCACTACCGACTGCAAAACACAGGAGCCCCAGAGGTAAGCAAGGAAAGAAAGAGCACCCCTCACCCCATCCTTCTGTTCCCAGATTCTCAGAGAGTGGCAGGCCAGACAGGTCAGAGGATGGATGGGAAGGATCACTGACTTCCAAGACTCAGGCTCCTGGGGGCCCTGGGAGGCCTCCTCAGGACAGGGATAGTAGAGGCAACGAGCATAGCACTGGACAGAGACACAGAGTTTATACTTGAGCTGGGCCTGTCTGGCTGTGACCACACTGGTAGGGCAGTATCTCAGCTCGGAGCTCCAGACATCAGTGCAGGCAGGTGAGACCAGTGTGGGGCAGTGGTGCCAGGGAGGCTCACACAGCTCCATGCGAGAAGGTAAGGACGTCAAGAATGTGACTTCTGGAGTCAGACAGTCTGGGGTTCACTCCCAGTCTCTACCCATTAGCTGTGCGTCTTCGAGCAAGTCACTTTGGCTTTTCCTGTCTCCTCTCTAAATGGGATAATGATAGTACCCACCTTGAGAGCTATGCTTAGTGTCGTTCAGCTGAGATTCAGAAGCTCACAAGAACATCTGTCCTGCTGGCGGAATGCTTTGGGTATGTATGCCTTCTGCCTGGCAGGCCTTCCCTCACTGTACATACTTGGGGAGCACTATTAATCACTTAGGACTTACCCTTATTCACCTCCTCTGTGAAGCCTTCTCAGCTTTGAGGGCCTGACTTCACACACACACACACACACACACACACACACACACACACACCCCACAGTTAAATGAGTGTGTGCTCCCTGGAACTGGGAAGGGTCCCTTCTTGGGCCATTTCTTTATCTCTCATACTGTATTCATAGCAAAGTGCCTAATTTCTCCTGTGTCCCTGGAGTACCACAATACACAAGGATTAGAGGGACCCAGCGAAAATCTGCTAGCCAAGTAAGAGAAATAGAACATTCTAGAAGCCTGGTCTCAGGAGAAATCCTGCCAGTTAAGAGATACTTCACACTATGACAGCCACAGAGGAGAATGCTGGTCTGGAGTCTTGTCCCCAGGACCTCAGTGTCTATTATCTGAAAATAATAATAATAACAACAACAACAACAGTTAGCATTTAATGACTGCTTCCTGCATGTGTTTATATATATATCAGCCCCAACAAGCCATGAAGGTGATATGATTGTTTCCTGCATTTTATAGATGGGAAAGCTTTCACAGAGCAGGTAATTAAATTATCCAGAGCAGCCCAGCCAGGAAATAATGGGCCCAGACTGGAAGGCAGGCCGTCCTGTCCAGGGACTGGTCTCCTGACCTTCTGCTGTTAGGGGTGGGGAAAGCTGGCAATTTCAGCCATGTTAATGTGGTCATTACACAGCATTTAAAAGGTGGACAGTTAGACTAAAAACACAGAAGTAGGCCATGGCAGCTCACACCTTTAATTCCAACACTCAGGAGGCACAGGTAGGTGGATCTCTATGAGCTGGAGGCCAGCCTGGTCTACTCAGAGTTCCAGCCTAACCAGGGCTATATAGTTTCAAAAATAATTAAGAAGACAGTGTCCTTAGTGGTCTTGCCTATGGGCAGGAGAATCAGTGTGCAACAGAGAGGGGTCAAAGAAACATTGGAAGGTAGGAACCCAAAATACGATTCTGGATTCCAGAACCCCAGCAGACAGACACAAGAGGTCTGCTGGAAAGGGGCTTGTGGGTGGGCAGGGCTGTGGGCAGTCAGATGGTATGAGGTCACTGGGGCCAAGGTTTTCTCCCCAGGTGGTTAGAGAATCTGGGCCTTTTGCCATCTCCAGGATCTGCCAGCACTGGAGGAGGAACTGACCATAGCTCAGTACCTTCCCAGGACTTCCTTCTCACCCCATAATTATGTGATTAGTCACTGGTAGCTCTGGGGAGCTGGCTAAGCTTCCTTAACAGGGGCCTCAAGTCCTCACACAGGTTCATGTGGGGCTGGGGCTGCTCAGACCCTCAGAGTAAGGTCCCTACAAGTTTCTTATCTTCTCAGCATAGGGAGACATAGGTCCCACATCCTTGCTTCTTCTGGATGTCCGTGGCTCTCTAAAGGCCACGCCCAGCAGCCTCTGGCAAGCTGGGGGGTGAGCAATTTTGAAAATGAGTGGCTTTGGGGTTTCCAGCATTCCAGGTTCACCAGCTTCGGAGACAGAAACACCTGTGTTTTGGCTCGCCCTTAGAAAAGCAGCTCCCTTTATAGCCCAGGGCAAAAGTGATGCGGGCGGCCACCGCCTGGCAGAAAGCTGGAGGAACAATCACTAAGGACAGATTCCCTGGCAGCCTGCCTTCTGCCCTCCCCAACTCAGCCCTGTGACCAGACACTTGTGAAGGGTGACACAGTCACTTCTCGAGCATCCTTCTCCTCACGGTTGGGAGGAAGGGTGAGCCACTGAGGACCAGGCTGAGTGGGGCAGCTGCAAGTTCCTAAAGCAGATTTAGAAAGACACTTTCTTGGTCTTTCCGGGAGAAAAGATCATCTAAGACACAGCCAACCCAGGAGAGGGTACATAGGGAGGGTGTAGGATTGGGCTCCCCTGCGGCTGGGTAAACTCAAACAGATAATGAGAAATTTGCAAGGAACATGCAGGCTGAAGAGATGACTATGCAAAGCAGCAGTTGTGCTGAAGACGACTGGGTCAGGCTTCTGAGGGAAGTCTGCTGGCAATGCAATTCCTATACCCTCTCTCCACCCACCCGCTCAGGTGCTGAGGCCCAGGATCAGTGACAAGCTCCTCCAAGTTTGTCTCGGGCAGAATGAAGTGTGAGAACCATTGGAGCAGGCAGCCCTGGGGCCTCTCGTCTAAAAGGAACCTGGATTCTCCTTGGGGAGAGAGCAGTGTCCTGAGGCAGGATTGTTGGAGATGGCTGCCACCTCTTCAGGAACACACAGGGTACAGGTTTTAGCTCATTGCTTCCTTACAGCCTGAGGCACAATGGATAAGAACTACTTCTCCATCTATTATACATTTGAGGCACAGAGAGGTCACATGAGTTGGCCAAGATCTCTCAGCTAGTGAGTGGCAGGGATGCGCCTGAAAAACAGAATCGCTGGAATGCTCCTGACCGCGTCCTCCTGTCCATCTTCTCCTCCCTCAGCCATCCTCTGACTCCAGCCCCCCAGGAACTCACAGTCTCTCTACCCTGTTCTCCTGTTAGACCCTCTTGGTTCTCTCTCTACTGAGAACCGTCCATCTGAATATCTCCTACTACAATACTCTCAGAGCACCCAAAAGAGAAGCTCACCTTCCCACATAGGAGCAAGAGCCCCATCCTCTATTTCCCCCACAACCTGTCCCTGTATAAGTCTTTCCCCTGCCCTGCTTCCTCCAAGGGACCTCAGTCTCCACATTTGTTACCTCCCTGCCCCTTGCCACTTGGCTTTCTGCCATCTTCTGCCATGTCTGCATATAGTGCTTGTGGTAGTTTGAATGGAATTAAAGCCCGTGATCTCACAGGGAGTGGCGCTAGCAGGTGTGGCGTTGTTGGAGTGGGTGTGGCCTTATTGGATGAAGTGTGTCACTGTGGGAGTGGGCTTTGAGGTTTCTTATGCTCAGGACACCCCCAGTCTGTCAGTCAACTTCCTGCTGTCTCCAAGATGTAGGACTCTGAGCTTCAGTACCATGTATGTGGTATTGCCTGTATGCTGCCATGCTCCCCATCATGCTGATAGTGGACTGAATCTCTGAAACTGTAAGCAAGCATCTCCAATTAAATGTTTTATTTATGAGAGTTGCCATGGTCATGGTGTCTCTTCATAGCGGTGAAAACCCTAAGACAGTGCTCTTATAAACCTGTACCCCTCTACTGCAAGAGAGCCCCTTATAGGTGCTGAGACCATGTCCTCCTGAGCCCTGTCCTGTTTTTCTGCCAGGGAGATAGAAACACAGGAGCTGAAAAGGCTGGACTCCTACCCCAACTTCTTATCTAGTACAGAAAGATCTTTGCTGGCTGCTGGGTTTAGGGCAGGAGAGAGGCAGGGAAGGCAGCATGGAGCTGGCTAGAGCAGAAGCCTCCAAGCCGTGAAGGGCTCCGAGAATTTATACGCTGGGATGCATGTGGTCAACCAGCTCCCCAACAGTCCAGACTCTAGCCAGGCCCCAGAGCCACCATCCACCTCCTCCACAGCCATGACACACTCCTCTTTAGCACTGCCAAGCGCCCGACGCTGCCAGGTTAATGATCCCGGCAGACACAGACATAGAGATGCCCTGTAGCCTTCACATATCTTTGGGGCTGTCATGTGGAAAAGAGATCACAGTGGGGGGCAGGTGGAGGAAGCTGTGGGGGGCATTTTCAGCACTGCTTGAACCACCTGAGAGAGAAAGAGCTGTGTGGAGGATGGGTGTTCCCTTAGGCTGTCTCATTGACCCCACTAACAGTTAATGATTAGGCCGTTTTATAGGCAAGGAAACTGAGGCCCAGGGCCATTTGCCAGGCCTGTGGCTGAGTCTGAGCCCAGGTCTCGGTGCAGAGGGAGGAGCAGGGAAGACAGGCTAGCTTTACTGCTGATACACTCACTAGAGTCAAAAATTGGTTGAGCCTGGACTACAGCAGGCAGCGACATTCTGCCAACATAGTGTTCAAGTAGGCCTTGTTTGATTAAATGACATACACCCCCATAGTCCTTCCAAACCCAGATTCTAGGACTCCAAGACATTTTTGGGAGATGGAAGAACCGTGGAAATCTCAGGGTCACAGTGAAAATCCTCCCCATCAATCCCTGTCCCGGACACTGAGCTAAACTTTCTATGAGTCATCTCCCTCCACGCTCACAACAATGATACTACCATTCTATCCCCATTTTCATATGGGGAAACTGAAGCTCAGAGATACAAAGCAACCTGCCTAAAGTCACACAGCTAGCAGTGGCAGAAGCAGGACACCTTTCACGAGACAGCTTTCTACCTATGTAGAATCCTGTGGCCAGCACAAGACTGTGCTAGTCTGTCAGAAGGCAGCAGGAGGGCATTGTGTTCTTAGACCTAGGAGCCCTGCTAGCAACCAGGTTCAAACTCTCACAATGTTCAAAGCCCTTGTGCCCCCTCAAAGGAGGCAGGGAGGCTGAAGACGGTGTAGCTGAGGAAGGACCAGGGTGGATGGACTCAGGACACCAAAGCCATGTGGTGGGAACAGCACATGTGGTAGGTCTTACCCGAACCCTTCGAGTGATCCATGAGGTGGGATGAGCTGAGGCCAGCAGGGTTCAGCGGCCAGTGCTCTAAGTCAAGGGTCCCTCTCTCTGACCCTAGAGTACAGGCCAAGGAGCCCACTTGCTGAGATGTAGCACGATGATGAAAGAAAGGAAGCCTGCGCCAGTCCTAGCTCAGAGTCTTGACAACGTGTGACCTTGGTCCAGGCACCTTGCCCTCTCTGAGCGCCCATGCTCATGTGCAGAATAAGGAGGACAGAGGAAACAGCTGAGAGTGTCCGAAAGGGGGTACTTTGTCTATGGAAACTGTGAAGAGGCCTCAACCCCTGCCCCACGGCCTCTGACATCCTTCCCAATGCCTGGGCTACTCAAAAGTGCCAGGACCAATGTGCAGCCCATACCTACCAGCAGGATATCAGCAACCACTGCCCAGTTGCAAGACAGAAGGAGCTCCCCGAGAGCCAGGAACACCTGCAGACAGAGAATGTCTTGGATGAGACCGTGGCCCCACCTCAGGCTCCCACCCCTTCCAAGTCTCTCCTCAACTGTGCAGAGGGGAAACTGAGGCTCCTCAGAGGAAGGCATGTGGAGACAAATGGGTGGAAGAGCAGCCCCCAGGATGGATAGACAGGCTGCCCCTGAGACCCCCAAGTTGAGCACCAGGCTACAAGTCTGATAACCTTGGCTCATGACCACCAAGAACCTTGGGGGTCACCCATGGAACCCAGAAGGAGGAGGCAACAGGGCTACTAGAGCACTTCCAAATCTGTAGACTCAGGACAAGAAGGCCAAGGTCTCAGCTTGCCTACTCTCTTTTTTTTTCCTGCTGAGGATTGCGTTCACCAGTAAGGCGTTGGGCACCTCTAGATAGGCTTCTCCCAAGCACCTTCCCGAGAAACCCCCACCCCAAGCTAGCATTAGCACAGCCATTGTGTAGACAAAGGTAATTCCTACGTAAGGTCAAGGCTCTTCTCAGGCCATAGCTGGCCAGGGCAAAGTCAACCTGAAACGCAAGACTTCAGGCTCCCATCCAGTGCCTACCCCGCCTTGCTCCCAGTGTCCTCTGCTGCTGGTCCCGTCTTACCCAGCTTTCTGAACCGTGCTACCTCGTGCCAGAGGATTAAGACAATCCTCATTCCCTTCACTCAAGAAAAGCTTAATGAAGCAACTGAAGAACGAGGAGGAAAGGCTCACTTCTCCCAGCATCAGGGAGCTGATTGCCAGGGTGGAATTAGTCATTCCTGGAGTCACGGGGTTATGTCTGAAGCAGCACAGGCTTGGGAACTCAATGGCTTGACATCTCCAAGGCAGAGAAATGAAAACCACCACTAGAAAGGACACCTGCTGTATGCCAGGGGTCACCACTGCATTACCCCTTTCGGGTCCAATAATTTGATAAGGTCATCATCACACCCATGTCACAGATCAGGATACCCAGGCCACTTTACAGAGAGGCCCTCTCCTCTGTGTCTGGCTTTCATATGGTGAGTTTGGGAAGGCCTTTGACCACAAAGAACTCCCAGGGCCCTCCAATGGCTACCATGCCTTTAAAGGCTGGTAGGAGGAATCAGATGGTGACCCTGAGCAGAGGTGACCCTGGCAGATACCTAGGAACAGTCAGGATGGGCTAGAAAGAGCTGCAGGAACCCAGGAGGCAGAAGCCCTACAAACAATGCCTGGCAGATAAACCTTGTGAGTGCCAACAAGAGGCTGGAATGTGCCACCACACAGGGTGGGGCAGGAGAATAACCTGATCCAGCGAAAGAAGAATAGAACAGAGAGACTACGCGGCTCTTGTGATCTCTCCACCCAACCCGGCTGCCTGTGGCTGCTGCTTTTGGCCCTTGGTACCCAAACTGGGAGGCCCTTGAGGTCAAGGTGGGTCTCCTTCTAGGCTTAGGACAAAGTTTGAGCACCCGCAGTAATGGGAAGCAGGAAGTCACTGGTGGGTAGGACTCGGGTGAGGCTCATGCAGACACAGCCCTGCATTCCATCTTGGCAGGGCCTGTCAGCCCAGATTCTGGACCACATGAAAGCCTGGCCCAGTGCACCTGCCCTCCCCGTGGTTTCTTGTAGTCAGTGAACCTCTACCTGGGCCAGAGGCCTTGCCTCTTAGTGTACTTAGCCTGCCTGAGTCCTCCTTCCTCCATACAGGCTGGACACGACTGTCAGAGGGCAAACTCTCCTGTGTGGGATCGCTCCTACCCTCTCCACACCCACAGGACATGCTGAAATATACCTTTTCCTTCTTCCAGCTGGCCTAGGGTGGATCCTGAGCCCAAAATAGAGCCCCTTCGAGGGAGGCTGCAGCCACAATGGGGCCTTTCAGGAGGAACAAGCTGCCTAGGGTGCCAGGTTTCCTCAGACACACCTGGAAACAGGCTCCATGCCACCAAATCCATCACTCTGTTTGTGGCTTTGAGGGGCAGGGGGCCAGTGGAGAGAGCCAGCCTTCTAATCCCATAATTACAGAGACTCTTGAGGTAGTGGGAGCTTAGCCTTCTGGGCTCAAGGAGTGGCACTGTCACAAAGGGAGACCTGCTGGGAGACCTTGGGGAGGTCCCCCACTCCCACCTCTGGGCCTTTGTTTCCCTCACTGCACAGAGGTGTGGGGGAGCCTAGACAGGCACCAATACACTGCGTTTCTGGAGCTGGAAACCTAGTTACACACACTTATGGTCTCCAGAGGCAGGGGGCAAATCCAGTCTTCAGCCACTGACTTCCATGATAGAGTCAGACTTTGCTTCAAACAAAATCCAAGCAAACAGAGTCAGCTCTGGTGGTGTATGCCTGTAACCTTCAGCATATACCTGTAAGCTCAGCCATGGTACTCATGCCTGTAACCTCAGCATATACCTGTAACCTCAGCTATGGTAGTGAATGTCTGTAACCCCAGCATATACCTGTAACTTGCCATGGTGGCACATGTCTGTAACCTTGGCCATAGTGGTGTATGCCTGTAATCTCAGCACATGCCTGTAACCTCAGTAACGGTGGTGTATATCTGTAACCACGCACATTGTCCAGATGAGCCTGGCCTATGTAGTAAGATTCTGTCTTTTAAAAGAATAAAAAAAGGGCTGAGTGGTGGCGCACGCCTTTAATCCCAGCACTCAGGAGGCAGAGGCAGGCCGATCTCTGTGAGCTCGAGACCACCCTTGACTACAATAGCTAGTTCCAGGACAGGCCCCAAGCTACAGAGAAACCCTGTCTTGAAAATGAAAGAGAGAGAGAGAGAGAGAGAGAGAGAGAGAAGAAGAAGAAGAAGAAGAAGAAGAAGAAAGAAGAAGAAGAAAGAAGAATCAGTGAGATGACCCCGCAGGTAAACACACTTGCTATCAGTCTTAAGGATCACACAGGCTTGGGAAATGAACTCTGCGTGGCAAAAGAACAGAAGTGATTGATGTTGTGGTACACACACACACACGTAATTATTTTGCATGGTAACTCACACACCATCATTAACTACAGAGTGAAAAAGCATATAAAAAAGAAAGACAGAAAGAAATAGAAAACAAACAAACACACTAAGGGCTGGCCAAGGAGGCTCAGCAGGGAAAGGCACTTGCCAGCAAGCCTGACAACTCAAATTCTATCTTGAACAGGATGCCAAGGGTGGAAGGAGAGACAACAAACATCCCCAATTGTCCTCTAACCTCCACACATGTGCCATGGCATGAACACGTGCACGCACACACACTAGGAGAGAGAGACAGAGACACAGAGAGAGAGAGAGATGAAATAAATATGCGTTTTTGTTTTTTAGTCTCCAGTTTTGAAGAATTTGGTTGTCAGTTCATCTCTCAGGTCCAAGTCCCTCTTGGTCGGTCACATACACCTCACTTTGACATGTCCCCTAACTTGTTTCCCCTCCGTCTCTTCCCATCACTGTTCCTGCCCAGTGTGGCTAAGACAGCCAGGATGCAGGCACAGACCAGCTGCCAGCAGCTGCCAAGATGCTTCCCCTTAGGTTCAAGGAGACAGGCAAATCCTAGAGTCTGCTGACCCTGTATGACCCCTCACTCTCTATCTCAGATGCTCCTTCTCTGTGCCTCCCTGTGTCCACTGCTGATGGTTTGATCCAGGCCTCTCCAGTTTCTCAGGCCTTATCATCTCCCTCAACACCCGCCCAGAGGGGACTTCCAAAGGGGAAATCTAATTCTGCCTTTGGCTCCTCCTCAAGGCCTGGCGTCTTCCCTGTGCCCTGACTTAGTTCCTGATGGGTAGGAGGGCTGGGAACACTGCCTGGGACCTGAGAAATGGACTGTGCTGGAGAGCCCTGACCTCTGATATTTCATCCTTTATCTGGGTCAGCAACAACTGATATGTTTGACTTTAGCCATCCTAGCCTGAAAAGCTTGCACACATACTACCCATGTTCACACTGGCACTCATCCTCACACACATACCTACATAAACATACACAGACTCCTGCACATACAACCACATGTATGCAAGCCCTCACACGTAAACTTCAATACACACGCACACATAGTCAAAACCTGAGATATACACACAACACTCACATATCGATGTGCACACATATGCAGGTAACAGAGGAGATATGCAAAATATCAAAACAGATGTGCAGCCTCGTCTACAAGAGCTAGTTCCGGGACAGGCACCAAAGCTACAGAGAAACCCTGTCTCGAAAAACCAAAAAAAAAAAAAAAAAAAAGATGTGGTATCAGGTACGGAATGATCCCTGCAAGTTGCAGCTACTTGGGAGGCTGAGGCAGGAGATCACTTAAGTTCAAAAGTTTAATCCTATCTGGGCAACATAGCAAAACACTCTCTCAGAAACAAAAACCAACTACACCATGGAAGCATGAATTAGTACTGGTGTTAGTACAGTCACAGGCTGTAGAGCTACTGAAGAGAAGCCTACCATGCACCCACACAACACTGTGGCCTTGTGGCAGAGCCAACAAGTCAGTCTCTCTCTCTCTCTCTCTCTCTCTCTCTCTCTCTCTCTCTCTCATACACACACACACACACACACACACACATGCGTGCATACACACACACATACTCACTCACTCTTTACACATTCACGCACAAAACATGCACACACTCATGTCTTTACACATGCGCAACTCTCATCATGCATACACACAAAGGCAGGCACACACAGGAGGAAAGATGAAGGGTCTATCCTGGGCAGGGCCAGTTCCCAAGGGCCTGTGTCTTCAACCTAAGCTCATCCCAGCCTCCAAAGTGGGCTCTCTCTCTCTCTCTCTCTCTCTCTCTCTCTCTCTCTCTCTCTTTCTCGTTTGAGACAGAATTTCTCTGTAGCTTTGGAGCCTATCCTGGAACTAGCTCTTGTAGACCAGGCTGGTCTTGATCTCACAGAGATCCACCTGCCCTTGCCTCCCGAATGCTGAGATTAAAGGCATGTGCCACCATTGTCTGGCTTGAAGAATGGATTATAAAACCCATTGTATAAAACCCATTGAGAAGTGAGAAGGCTA